GCAAAGAAGCCACTACCAGGGTATGGTGGTAGAGAGCCAATGGGAGAACCCTGGTGGATCTCACACCAGCAATTAAATGCATGACTTAGGAGTGACACCCAGTTTATTGGTCAACACTTGTCTCAGCCCTACACATCCCAAGGGGACCCAGAAGTTCTCTCTTACTATGAGGCTGTAATGGGGGAGAACGAGAAACATGTGGTCAACAGTGCTACTGATTACTTTCTTTACTATGACCCAGACTTTGCACTGGGTATGAAAGGCCTGGCAGTGTCTGGCACCAAGAGGGATCGCATACATGTTGTTCTTCCTATATTATTGCCTAGCACTGAACTCACAAATTCTGTGGGAAGCCTAGAAGTTAAGATACTGAGAACTGTTTCCTTTGCACATCTGCCTGGCATACATTTGGGAGTCCCAGTTCTGTTTCTGTCAGCTGCGATTTTCTAAAATAGTAGATGGTGCATTCTGCTTTCCCTGGGGGCGCTCTGGAATGAATGAAGTGATTGCCTTCAGGGAGATCTTTATTCCTGAGGATTTTTCTCGCCCTTGTGCATTTCTGCTTCTGAAATCTGACCCCAGTGTGGGTAGCATCTCTTGGGTCACCCACACAGCAATAACGTAATGTGGCTGATGGAAGATCAGAAAGCTGGTTGGGCTGGCCCCGTGGCTTAGTGGTTAAGTGTGCGCGCTCCGCTGCTGGCGGCCCAGGTTCGGACCCCCAGCACGCACTGACGCACCGCTTCTCCGACCATGCTGAGGCCGCGTCCCACATACAGCAACTAGAAGGATGTGCAGCTATGACATACAACTATCTACTGGGGCTTTGGGGGGAAAAATAAATAAATAAAATTAAAAAAAAAAAAAGAAAGCTGGAGCAGGACTAATTGGAGGAACCAGGTGGGCTCATAAACAGTCATTATTGATGACGAATGACTTACTGGCTATTTAAGGACAGCTGTTTTCTGTACCATTCAGTTTTTTCCTGAATGCACTTGAGGATTCTTTGGTAATGTCTTCTGATTTACCACTTGTCTTTGTTTTTAATATTGAAGAAGAACATAGACTGAAGTGACTGCCTTGGCAGCAACTTTAGTGGTGATGGGCATGGAGTTATTAAAATTTATAGTCATGCTGTTTCTGCAGCTACACTTTGCTTGTCTTGGAGAGGCTTATCAAAGGTACCAAGGAATGTGGAGAGAGAGCAACTACCAAATTGTGACAGGAAATTAACTGTGCAAATGTTGTTTTTTAATGTTCTCTTTGCTAAAATTTACATTTATTTTCATAATATTTCTTGATGACAGCGTCACCCAACGAACCAGTCCTTAGCTCGTGCCACTACTTTCAACTACGCTAATGAGGGGAAAGAAAGGGAAAAGATGACTGACGTTTACTGAGGTCCCAAAGTGTGCACAGCCGTGTGCTAGGTGCTTCACACATGCGTGTTCTCCTAAAATCCTCACAAGCTTCAGAGGATGCCATTCGCTTCTCCCTCCCTCCACGCATTCCTTTATAGAAAAGAAATAAGAAGTTAAATAACCTGCCCAAGATCATAGAGCTTTAAGAGCCAGAGGTATTATTTGAACCGTGCTGTGCTAAAACCCGATGTATGCTATTGAACCGATGAACTTCTTCAGTAATCAGAGGGTATTATATATGGACAGATGATTGGATGGTTCCTTCTCCTGATCTCATTTATCCCTTATATTTGTATAATATTTTATTGTTATAAAGTGCTGTCATATTAATCATATCTTTTCACCCTAACAACAGCCCTATGAAGTATGTAGAGCTGGTATCCTGTCCCCATAACACATTATCAAGAAATGGGATCAGAAAAGTTAAGTAACTTGACCAAGGTCAGTCAAAGCTGACTCCCTCACATCTTCTCTTCTCTGGACATGTGAACCAGCAGAGCTGATTTTCATGGCAGCTGAGCATGGTGGATTCAAGCCTGGGCAACTATATGCGTATTTGCCGCAAGGCTTATAATGAACTGAGACAAAGCAGTTAGCCACGGATTATCATGCCACTGCGGTCCCAAGACAAATGACAAGGAGATTGCAGTAATGAAATCTTATTACTGTGGGTAGGGAGACCACATCTGAGGTCTAGCACAGCCACATTTACCTCTTTGGGAAACACAACGAAACATCTGGGTAAGGGTCTCCACTGACATTAGCAGTGTGCTAGCAGGATTAAGAAGATCTCTCCGAAACAGTAATTGCAATGGCAAATGTGTGGCGCCTAAGATAAGGACCAAATATTTATTCTGGCAGAGATTAAATCTTTTCTTTTCCTAAATCTATTATGGATCTTGCAGAAAATCTGCCCAAGAATGTATCTCGCTGATCAGCCAATTCACTGAGCCAGAACTGTACTTTGCCACTGCTATTGCTGAAAAGCTGCAAGATGCTGGTTTAGTCTCCTCTCTCCCCTTAAAGCTGTTCTCCATCCATGATTAATTAGTGACTCAGAGGTGAATTGAATCACCAGCAGTCCTCTCCATGCATCCAGGATTTATATAGTGGTTTCTCATTGAAGAACAGTGGTGCGATAAACAGCCCACATTTGTGGGGTGGGCAGAGGAGTAATGGTGTCTGCAGTCATGGTTTCTTAACTCCTCCAGTCCTTTCATTCTGCTAAACAGGTTATGACTCAAGTTATTATAGCCTAGCTTATTTAGGCATGAGGGTGATTAGGTACCAACACACACACACACGCACACTTAGAAATGAATGCCAACTCTTTAAGAGAGAGCAGAAAAATCATGTTGTCATTTCTGAATTTCTGAGGAATTAAGGAGAAAGAATAAAATGAATCATAATATTAGTAATTATGGGCATGAAAGATGCAAAAGAACCCATCATCAGGTTCATTTATCTATGCATCATATTTTTTTGTGTGTGAGGAAGATTAGCCCTGAGCTAACATCTGTTGCCAAGCCTCCTCTTTTTGCTGAGGAAAGCTGGCCCTGGGCTAACATTGTGCCCATCTTCCTCTACTTTATATGTGGGACGCCTGCCACAGCATGGCTTGATAAGTGGGGCGTATGTCCGTGCTCGGGATCTGAACCTGCAGACCCCGGACGGCCAAAGCAAAGGGCACAAACTTAGCCATTATGCCACTCGGCTGGCCTATATGCATCATATTTTAATGCTATATACTTTGATTAGCACTGGAGGTGTAGAGATGGAAAAAAAAAAATGAGAACTAGCGTCACAATAAACAGGGATTTAAGAAATCATGGGTATGTTTAGTCGCCACTGTAGGAGGTACCTGAATTACTTTTCTCAGAGAACAGAACACGGGAATTGCAGACATCATTTTACATTGTGTTCTATGCCGTCAGTGCACAAAGGAAGCAATGATGTCCACCCTATATGTCACCATCCTGCGTGCTGAAAGCAGCCTTGTTGATCAGCCTAGATTCCTGCTTTCTAAGATCAAGACTCCCGGGTACTTATCCATTCTTTTATTGGGCACAAGATGTGTTCACATACTAATGGAAAACTGGCAAGGTGAGGAAAGCCTGTCTTTTGGAAAAATAAGTAAAATGTCCCAAACTATATGGAAACTAGTGCCTAAACTCTTACGAAAAGTCTGAATTTTTTGACTTGAAGCATAGTAAGTACTTAATAAATATTGTATTTATGTATTGAATGAATAAATGAAAGAATTAACCAAGTTACTAAATTTGAGACGCAGGGAAATCTTTCCTACATGCTAGTTTATATGGATTCTGGACTTCTTTTCCCGTTTCCTCCTCCTCCTCATTCTTCTCCTTCTCTTTCTACTTCTTGAATCAGGAAATAGGGAATAACAGAGATTATGTGGACAGATGTTGTGTCTCAGTCTGGCAGAACTTCAGAATTACAACTATATTTTATTATCCTTGGGTGTTCAACCTATTGCTTAGCCAATAAGTCAGACAACTAGAGAACTGGAGAAAGATGTCTCCCTTCTCTCCTTACCCATCTCTCATGACACCCCGCATGCTGAGATACATTTCCAAGAGGGTGAGAGAGACAGGTTGTATCTGATCAGTAAGGTTACTTTCATTTTCTGTCTCATTTTGAATACTAATTCTAACTCCTAGTCGTAACCAATTATTAGAGGAGAAGAGTAAGAGTTTTAATAGCATTATCATTTATATTTCAGTGTTTCTGGGCACTCCCCAGGAGGCAGAGGATGTCACCACCACCATCACCATCACCATAGTCATCACCTTCATTGCTATATTGTTACTTTTCTGGAATTCATTGTGTCTTCCCTCCCAGAAGTCTTTTGGGGCCACAGAGGTTCTCTTCTGCTGTGTAACATAAATCTATAACACCGACTATTACATCCCTCTTTGAGTTAGCTTTAAGTGTAGGGCTACAGGTGCAGGAAGGGTAGCAGCCATCTGACTCTGAAAACCCCAGCTCAGTTTCACTGGCCTCTACTGAGGATACCTTTTGTATGTGGTTTGGACCTACAGAAAGTATCATCAGGAGTGGCTCCATAATTCTAGCTCCTCTGCCATTGACTCCTAACCATTCTTTACCCCTCCCCTTGGTCTTGATTGCCCCAAAATGTGCAAGCAGACTCATATTTCCTCTTTAATCCTAAATCTGAATTGTGAAGTGATCTGGGGTCCAGTGTCTTATTAGCCTCTCCTAGAAAACAGGCCTAATGCATCTCACAGAAATAAACTTTGCAGTGTCACTACACAGTTGTTAGGTAGTTCTGTGGTTCCAGCTTTGATATCTGTTGAGGGCAATCAAATGATGTAACCTGTGAAATGCAGCCTGTGAGAGCAATTTGGGAGGCTTTATGTCATTGGTTTTTATGTTCAGGATGAAAGCCCATGGAGAAATTTAGGATACTATTATTAACTTCACGCTGACGGCTCCCTCTGGGCACGTGCAGATTTATTGTTAGTTGGAGGATCAACTTGAAAGGGAGAAAACCTTGTGGTGGATGATAACTATGCCTTTTGTGTTTCTTTATTCCAGGAACAGGGGAAAATTGGAGTTGTCTTCAATATTGGCACAGTTGACATCTCTATTAAGGAGGAGAGAACCCCTGTAAATGATGGTAAATACCACGTGGTGCGCTTCACCAGGAACGGTGGCAACGCCACACTTCAGGTGGACAACTGGCCTGTGAATGAACATTATCCCACAGGTACGTGTTTCACTCTCAATAACCATACTTTCTTTTGCTCCCCGATTCGTAATTCTAAATGATGATTTTTCTCCTGACTGTCCCCAAATCATAAAACACTGAATATTAAGCACACATTCATGTCTTTTGGATGGGAAGATACATTATTTCTTTAAGACTTGGTCTAGTGTAGGGCACTTCTGGAGACTTACTAACTATGCACTGAATACTTTTTGTCAACCTGACTAATACTGCCTGACTGGCTCATAGCAAAGACAATTATTGTAGGTTTCCCGGGGCACTGCAAATGATGAGCAACAGAGGGATAGGGCACCATCTCCGTCATGAGCTCTCATCAATAATCATGGAATAATCAATTTGAGATCTGGACTTCATGGTGCCATTGAGTTAGATGTGATTGAATGTACAGATGGCCAGAGATTGCAGAAAGACTGTGAGAGGAAGTTTACTAAACTTGAATTGATGAACAGCAAGTCAGGGTAACAATGAGAGAAAAACTAAGGATGGAATTTCATTCATTTGGTTGACTTCGCCAATTTGTTGGCAATTGGTTGACTAAGCCTGACTTGATATTCAGAGATTGGTCCTAGTAGGCATTTTAATAGCAAGCATGCTGGTGTGGGAGGGAGAGAGGTTAATCATCTGTTTAAATTGTATTGTCAAGGAGCATTTGCCAACAAACTCCCAGAGACAGATGGCCAAATCAAGGGCAATGGGAGGAAAGGTTGCCTTCTTTAAAAGAGATCATTCAAATAATCCCCTAGCTTTCCCTCTCATCTCTCACTTACCCCAGGAAAAGAGCCCTGAACCCTGATCACAAATGTTCCAGGAATAGAAGGGAAAATACTTTGGCTAAGGGCCTTTGCTTCACCATTGCATTATCACCTGGTGGATGCAAGAGAATATTGAAATTGTCACTAATGTGGGCATGCAGCTATGTCTAACTCTATATCTCCTACACTCCAAACTCCCCGTAATTTTCTCACTCTTATCCTCTCCCTTCTGTTATAATGAGGTGGGCACAGAGAAGAGGAAGCCAGAAGCACATTTCTAGAAGTTTAAGAGCTGTTTAGCTAATAATAGTCAAACTTGAGAGAAATATATAAAGTAAATATGTCTATTTGTAGCCCAAGAATTTTGAAGGCTGTATTTTGTTTTCATGCCTAATTTAGCATTAATTTTTTTTAAAAGCCAATCAGAGGTAACTGTGCTACTGGGATTTTCCCCTAATAGCCAGTCTTCCAATGTCTGGTTTAAGAATTATGAGAGCATCCACAAATAGCAGACAAGACCCTCAAGATATTGAAGCAAAATGCCCCACCTACCCATTTATCTGGCATCTCAATCTCTGTACAATATCCAGTTCATCCTTTGCTAGGAGTCTCTTGTCATACTCTTAGCACTTCTTAGATTAAGGCACAAAAATGACCTTATGCATCTATCTTTGAGCCTTTGAAGAGAGCCAGAGGTGTTAGCTGCTGCTGTGAACTCTCACCATCATCCAAATTCACTAGACACTAATAGACCTGGTTTTTAAATGCTTCTTGCTTAAATTCTGGGGGATAGGGGTGGGGGAATCAAATAGACTGAGATTTTAAAAGCTGTTCATTTGCTCATAGGAAGAATCCATCTCTCTCCATGCATATTATCATTGGCCCTGCTAGTGCTGCTGTAGGGTTTGTTGTGTTTCTATTAGGAATTTCAGATTTCTAAATTGATGTTAACCTCTTGCCCTGAGCCAATATAGAATCCACAAGTTGGCTGCCAATAATGATAAGGCTCTTGAATGGTCATTTTAAAGCCACAGATATGTAAGAAAACCAGTGACCCTTGCTGTGTGCCTATCTCTTTATAGCTTTAGTTTCAAATTATGGGTTGCTTCTTATGTTTTCAAAACAGGATCAACCTTTCTTTAATGGCATTGCTTCCCACTGAAAACTATTATTACTAGTAACTGTTGGAACTGTTATTTGGTAATAATGTGTGTTATTATTATAGGACATGATGCAGTACTGCAGTTATAAGCATGGGCTTTGGAGTCAGCTGGCAGGAGTTGGGATCTTGGTGCCATTAGCTCTGAGTCTGAGGCAGGCTGGATTAAGACCTTGAAATGCCCTAACCACTGAAATATTTGGTGCCTCTCTCCCCAAACAATTCACAAGACAATAACCATAAAATAAGTGTAAGAATTTCTAACCATTCTGATTTTTCTTCTCTGATGATCACTGTAATGCTTTAAAAATACATCAAATTCTTTCTCCTCACATTCCCATTTTTTACCGTCTCTGCTGTCTTGGTTCTCTAAGTGCGTGCTTATTCTTCCTATTGGGTGATCCAGTTCCAGACCTTGGGCAAATTATTTAACCTCCTGAGTCTCTGTTTCCTAGTCTGTAAAATGGGGTAATGATAATACTTACTTTTCAGGGCTAATGTGAAGATTAAGTGAGTTAAACAGATGTAAAATACTCAACATGATGCTGAGTTGATTTTCATTACTTAATAAATGTTAGCTTTGAGGATTACCAAACATTAGGGTAGCATTTTTTTACTATTACAAAATCACTCATACAGATTACTTCATTTTGACTGTTAAATAACCAGTAAATTGTGTAGGGTGGATATTTTTATTCTCCATTTCAAATGTAAAAAGAGACCCAGGGAGATACTGTGTCTTTCCTACGGTCACACAGTAAAGGAGGGACAGAACTAGGACCAGATTCTCCTGTTCCCAGCTGAGCATAATTTCCACCATTGTTCCCACAGCAAATTGGGGGATATTTTGAAAAACACATAGATAGAAATGAACATCTTTCTTCTTGTCTCATCTTAGAGTTATTCCTTTTTTAGAAGTGTCATATTACAAAGGTCAGTACCAATAACCGCACAAAGATGTATTGTAAGATGTGGAGTTGAAAATCCTCCCCTAGAAAAGAAAAGCTCTTTTAACTGTGCTAAAAGACTCATTTGTAATGAGTCCAAGCTGTCCTCCTGACAGCAATGACAGTGGGCTTTCATGAACCAATCGAAAGAATACTGAGTATTTAAAGGAGCTACCATCTGACTTCGTCACCTAGATTGTAAAGTGGTTTTGGAAAGTCCAACATACTAGTTTCGCATTCCGCCCTGCCAAGACTTCCTAGGAGTGGCTCGTCTTCTGAGCTTTGGGTATCTTATTTCTCTCCCACCTGACTCCGTTTGCTACTGAAAAGATCCATAAATTTAAAGCATCAATTAGAGCAATCTGGCAGTGTTTATTTAATGTATTTTAAACCATAAAATCAAAATACCCCCTGTATCTGGAATCAAAGAACAAAGCTGCCTGGCCAGGCAATCCTGATACAGTTTCTGCAAAAGTAATGTATCTTTCTTTTTCCAAGCCATTCTGTTTTATTGATAGCGGTGAGTATAGAAACCCTCAAAGGAGTTCAGTCGTGCTACTTGTCTATTGCTAATATTTAAACAGTAAAGACTTACAGAGTAGCTCCTACAGAATGTTTGCTTACGTTATCTCATTCTGAGGGCATGCTCTCAGGGAATTGCTCCTGCTCACCAGGTCCCTGTGCGTCGAGATGAATGGGTCAACCCCAGAATCTTCTCATGGGCATTTATAGGATTTTATATAGCTCTACTGAAACATCCCACTGTGAAATATTTAGAAACCTGCTGGGCACAGGACATGTAGCATTGGTTCTTTGTGAATCAGGAAGGATCCAAAATGAAAATAGTTCTATAGCCATCAGAATCTTATATCACTTATGTCTGGGAGATAGAACTTGAAAGCAACTTGTTCCTTTGAGTCTGAAAATAGAAAGTCTAAGGAACAGGAGAGGGAAATAAAAGAATCAGCCCAGAGCTAGCATCTAGGCACTGACAAATGTTCCTTATAAAGCCTCTGATTGCTGTCTTGACACAATGCAGTGGTGGGGACAAGGGAGAGGAAGTGAAAGGTGAGTTGAGCATGAGGAATTATTTTCAGCCCCAGCTTTGGCCCCCTGGGAGGCTGGGCTGACTGAGATTGTTAGATCCTCAGTCTGCTGTGAGTGCGTGGCTGGGTGTGTCATCAGGGCTATTAGAACCCTGAGCAAGGTGCTTTTCCGGTCAGAGCCAGGCTTCCTGGGGAGTGAAGATTGATAAGCAGGTCAGTTGTTCAGGACTTTCCATCTTCCCATGGCAGGTGGTGCTGAGGAGAGCAGAGTCTCAATTGTTTTATTTTTTTTCTTGATATTGCAAACCAAGTCAGTTGAAGTACTCAATTGGATTCCTCTTCTTCAGGCAATAAAATGCCCACTGCTGACCTATGCTTCAATCCTGTTTGACCACCCAATTCAAAACAGGAAAAGGATGTAGAAGTGCTTCCCTTTAGGGACACTAGATTAGAAAACTCTGTTTGTATTTGAATGTGTCCAATTCCCTGAACTTTGGCTTTATAGGGTTTGAAAGTAAAAATATTGCTAAGCGCTTACTGATGCTCAAAGTGCCTTCATATACATTATTACATCTGAGCCTCCCTCCATCCTGTGAGGGAACTGGCTTTGGTATTATTATTACCACCTACCCATGTTAAGGTTGCTTTATGTAGACTCTGAGAGGCTAAATAACTTACCCAGTATCACACAGCTTACGGGGTAGAGCCAAGATTCCTAACCTGATCCTCAGATTGCACTACCTCAAATTTCCTGCCCATTTTCCTGTATATCAGAGTCAAGATTTTATTGATACCAACACTAGGTTTTTAGGTTTTTGTTTTTGTTTGTTTTTTCCATCAATAGTATTCTCAAATAGAAATCCCTGCCTGGAGTAGTTCAGTTAGTAGAGTTTCTCAGATTGGTGTTTTGCACTGGATAATTCCTTGGTGTAGGGGGGCTGTCCTGTGCATTGTAGGATGTTTAGCAGCATCCTTGACTTCTACTTTTTTTTTTTGAGGAAGATCAGCCCTGAGCTAACATCCATGATAATCCTCCTCTTTTTGCTGAGGAAGACCGGCTTTGAGCCAATCCTCC